ATGACTCAAAATTAAAATTATTTGATTGAGTTAAACCAGGTTCTGAAGAATGTAAAATTTCCTTTGATAACACATCAGAATCTAATTTTAAACTTTCATCTATTTCTAATTCATTTTTCATAGACGATGGTTGCTGATTTGATGACAATAATTTTACTGAGGTATTTTGTGCATTAGAAAATGTTATACAATTGTTTGATTTGTCTGAAGTAGGATCAATTGAAACATTGGGTTTATCCTGGGTTTGCATATTTTGTAGTTGATTATTAGATTGTAAATCACATGACTGTTGATTAAAGATAAATGTATTATTTACATTTGATGAATCAAAATAATTACTAAAACTGTGACCTGTAGTTGGTATAGATTGTTGTACAGTCACATTTTGGTTATTTATTGACTGGGATACAATATTGATGGGCTTATTAGAAAATGGATTACTTGACATTTTTAAATTATCATCAATTATAGATTGTTTTGGTGTTAATTGATTTCTTGAAAGTTGCTGATTATTTAACTCTAGTTGAGAAGTCATACTATTAGGATTAAAGAAATCATTAGACTGAGTAACATTTTTAAAAGATGGTGGAGACAATAATTTTTCTTCATTGTGTTGGTCTTCATTAAATTGCATTTGTATGGGTTTAGATTGATCAACTGTTGTTTCTGGTTGATTTTCAAGTATGTTATTAATTGGAGACTGTGAAAGTTTAATATCAAACTCAGATATTACAATATTTGAAGAGTCTTGAATTAATGAATCAATTGGACTATTTTTAGCAGCATTAGATAAATTTAATATATTACTAGCTTGATCATCTTCTGATTTTTGATGCTGTGTATGTTGGTTATCTTGAACTACTGTTTCAGACACAGAAAATGAACTTTTTGAAGGAGCGGCGACAATAGCTGAAGTCACGGGACCAAGAGACTGAGTAGATATTAATGATGAATTGCGAGCTATATTATACTCTTGGCTAGCTATAGGTTTACTATCATTCAACAATTCAGATACAGGTGATTTTGAAGAATTATATATTGATTGCTGGTTAATAGATTCAATACCTTGTTTGTTTTGATAATTATACAAATTGGTAGCACAAGAATTCATAGACTGACTATTCTGGTAGTTTAATACTTGAACTGGTAACGTTGTCTGATTAATAACTATTTTATCTTGTGTATTACTATTGGATTGTAATTTAGAATCGATTGGGGGAAAATTTGAGTTTTGAATATCGGGTTGAATGTGCTGGTTTTGTTGGTTAAAATGTTCTGACTTAAGATCATCATTATAATTTTGAACATTTAATGATGCTTGTTGATGATTAAACAGCTCAGTATTTTCATAAGGGAATAATGGTTTACTCTGTGAGTGTTGTAAAATTGAACTATTCAATGAACTAGGCTGAGTCAAAGTGTTTGTTTGACTAAAATATAAACCTTTATTAAACTGAGAAGCATTTTGAATGTTTGACGATTTATGAGTATCATTAGACAAATAGTTAGTTATGCTGTTATAAATAGAAGAAGATGAACTTTGTTTATTCTCATAGTTAAATTGTGTCTGCTCAATATCTTTTTTGGTAGTGTAAGAATCAAATGTTTGAGTTCTTGGCATGTTTACACTTTGTTCATCACAACGGGATTCAAGATTCTCTTGATTTTCTAAGCTTGGTTCTCTTTCATTTGAGTTAATATTGTCAAATAAAGGAATGTCTTCAATAATATCATCATCATCTTGATTATAAGCACTATGTAAAATAGAATGTTGGTGATCATCAATACTATCATTTTTCTTAAGACTTAAATCGGCAAATTGGCTAGGTACAGGAAACTCATGATTTGAAGTTGTAATTGTTTTTGATTCCTTTGTTACATGACACTCAGTACTTTTATTTATCGTATGTCGTAGAAATACATTACTCGGATGTGTACTTTCTGAATCCTGATCTGTACTTTCAGAGTATAATGAAGAAGTATGTTGTGGTGAACTTTCAGTAGATGTTTCTTCCATATCATACTCAATAATTTTAGGTTCAGGATAAGGTTTATTTGAAGAAAAATAGTTTGTATTCATATTTTCTGCTATGGATCCTTTACTATTATTGTATTTAGCTACTGGATAAAGTTCTGGAACTCTTTTAGATTGTTGCGGTAACAAAGCAGTAAGATGAGGTTGTAGCTGAAAGTCTGGATTTATTGTATAGTTTTCAGCATTATTAGTTTGAGCAAGGCTTAGAACATTCTGGAAAAAAAAAAACAATTATAGGCAATTAACAAAAATTTCATAAGTTTATGTTCAGTATCATTGATTTAATTTTAGCTGTATAATTAACTAAGACAAATAGTTAAACATAGTTATTTTCAAATTATGAAACTTAATGTAAACACAATTTGACAAATGTATGATCAAATAAATTGTACCTAATTATAATTAAATAACAACTAATAATATTAGAGCTGAAATAAAAATACTCTGGAGACATGTCAAAACTAAATACGGAATTAAAACCCGAGGAGCAACAGATTTGTTAGACCGACAATTATAAGAAGAATGGTGGCGGCCCATTAATATGCAACACAACTTATTAGAAGTTTTCTGGGATGATGTAAAAATAATATATACCTAATGTATACTAATATAATATAATGACGTATAGAAATATTATAAAGTACTTGACAATGAAAATTAATAAATTATTTAGTAATAAATTGTAATTAATGTTATTGTTAATTTGTTATTAATCAATAACTAGTAAACGTTTTTTTGGTAGGTATCATTTTACGGTAGGTAGCATACTACACCAACGACGTAGCGGTAGGTAGCATATTAGACGAGTACCCTAAAATATAATAATTATATTTTAAATGTACTCACTGGAATTGATGATTGAGAATTTTCATAAATTCCTTTAGCATTAGTCCTAGGTGGCCCAGATGAGCGCGGTGCTTGATTAGCAGAATCCATTTGGTATAAATGATTATTCATTAATGGAACTGCATTAGGATTTGAATGTATTTTCTCATGAAACGGTGATTGATCTGAGGGAGACGTGGCTGGTATGCTTCCTAGAACGATAACAATTAATGTAGGTTATTAAAAAAAATAAAAATCTCACAGAACAAATAAAAATTATTTATGGACAACTAAATAGGTACCTACCTAATTGTTATCTAAGTTAAAAATTGTATTAATTATTAATAATACATTGTTGATAGGTTTTTAAAATATAACACATAGGACCTAGGTAATATTTTTATTTAATACATGTAAACATTAATTAAACTATTACAATCAGGGGTCATGGAGATATACAGTTATTAAAATATATGTGTATACAGGTGTGTACACGAGCTCTGCATAGCTACACAGACTTAAAATATATAAAAATTAAAAAGGCAAGTACCTAGGTACTAATATATTAATTTTTCTATAAAGTTATAAAAAATAGACAATTTACTTAATTTCTAGTTAAAAGTGGGCAATTACCTTATATAAATACCTATACAGCTAGTAGGCTTCTTCAACGATATAATTTTGAATATCGATATCGTTTTGATTGTGTGCGATATCGTATCGCGATATCGAAAAAAAATTTTGATATCGATATATCGATATATCGATATTCCGATATATTAAAATTTTTTTTCGATATCGCGTTATCTCTATTAATTATTTATTTTTCTGTTCTCCTGTGCTATTTTTAACACAAATAGTAAATACCCAATGGCCGGGGTATATCGATATATTTCGATTATCGAATATATCGATAATAATTTATCGATATATCGTATGATATATCGATAATCGTTTATCGATATATCGTACGATATATTAAGATTATCGATATCGAAATTTCCGAAAAAAAGTTCGCGATATCGATATCGTATCGAAATATCGATATCGTTGAAGAAGCCTAACAGCTAGTATTCATGCACGGATATATTATAGTCATGTAGGTATAGCATCAGGGTTTAAAGTACTGGGCCTAGTAAAAAACCCAGTAAAAAAACCCAACAAACTTTAAACTGCATATTTATTTTTTAACCTATAGGTACCTATTAATCAAAACCACTAGGTAGGTTTATAATTATAAATATGTAGAGGTACCTAGGTATTGATTGTCATTCAATAAAATTCTAGCATCTACATAATGAACCTTTTAGACATTATTGTTTTTGTACTGTTATTCGCTTCTTTGCAATAGGAAAATTAGAAAGTAGGTACCTAAGTAAAAACAATTTTAAGAACCATGTAGGTACAAAATAGTTTTCTATGACTTTAATATGAGATAAGAATAAATTCAATGAATAATTTTGGTGTCCAAACCGGTGAGATGTATACTTAACATGATCTCATCATCATATATTTAATGACCAAACCACAAGTAGAAAGACCACATTTACCTAACATGTTATTTAATTATAAACTATTATAATATATTGTAGGTAATTTGTAAATTGTTGTAAATTGTAATAAGATTAGAATTAAAAAAAAAAATTTGGGTAGGTATGTACAGGTGTATATAATTATTTAGTGACAAAAATTACCAGAGTAATTATTGGTCGATTGAATCCCATCGGTAGATGGTCGGTTGAACGTGGACTGTCCATTAACAAAGGAATTGGCTGTGTGGAAAAAAAAGAAAACGTTTTGAACCGAACAAGCTCAACGCCAAACAGCAAGTAACATTAAGGTACTCCTACTATTAAAATGCGTTGCGTCATATTTTGACAGGTACACTTACGGTTTTGCTGGAAATAGTTGTATCTGTGTTCCATGGTGCGTCCGAGATTCTAGTCGGAAACCTGAATAACGTCCAGGACATGCGAACTTGACACGGTTCGACAATACGGTTTGTGGCTCAAGGTTTTCTGGTGTGTCTGGTAGCGAGGAAGGAGAGAAAACTCGGTGGATAGAAAAAAATCTAATCACGTAAGCAAAACACAGTATCCGTCCACCAACCAGTCGAAATAATAACTATATCACGTCAGTCATGCCTCTATCAGAAATCCACACGTACCGCGCGCTACCTAAATCGTACTATCTCCGTTTCGTCACGCTGATAATGATGAAAGGCCAAATGTACCAAATGGCAAATTTCTTTTTAGTACGAAAACTCTGCGTCTACGGGTGTCAACCTCAGCAGCACTGGCCGTACGTGTACGCGGGGCGCGAACGGCGACGGTACGTAATAAGACGACGGCGGACGGAGCTCTGCGCGACGACGACGACTTCGGTGACCGGTGTCGTAGATCTTATTGATTAACACAATAACGATAGTGATATTTTATGCAACGACGACATTAAACAGTAAAATATTATTGTTAATTATTATTGTTAGTAAATCGTCGCCTCCGTTCGTCGCAATAACAAATTATTGTTGCAACTCGCGAATGCCGATTAGGATTCCGTTTTGCGCTATCTATTCTTTCGCATGTGTGTGCGTGACGTGCGTGTGCGTACACCATAGAGCGCACAGAGTATTGCTTCTTTATCTCTGTAGTATAGACACGTCACGTTCACGAATCACGGGCTAGCAGGCTGTAGTAGTTGTTGTTGTCACTGGTGATAAGACTGGCGTTTACTGAACGCGCCCACAAATCACAATCCACACTGTGAATTCACACTGGAATTATTCCACAGATGATTACGTGGTACGTGGAACCTTAGACGTAATATTGAAATATTTTCTATAATATTTTCTGTTATGATGTAAAGATCATATTATTAATAATACATACAATTTTATATTATAATGCATGGTGGAAGACATCCATACATTGTAAATTGTAATTTGTATTGCATGTATGTCCCACGGTTTAAGATTTACTTACAGTGGTTGCCAGATAGATTGAGTTAGCGGCGGTGGCGGCGCGGAATCGCCAATACCTATGATATTATGTGTGATAAGTTAAGTCAAAATACGTAGGTCTTAGGTATCTGGTATATACATTATACACAGGGTTGGGCAGTATCTTCGATACAAGTATCTAAGATACGTATCTTAGATACATTTGTATCTTGTATCTTGTATCTCGATACAATTATGTGAAGTATCGAGTATCTTGTATCGCGATACATTTTTAGTCAATGTATCGAGTATTTCATGAATTAATTTAATCGAAAGATACTCGATACATTAATGCGATAATTTGAAAAATTAATTGTTTACGATTATTTTTACTCGTCAGAAACCACTTTTGAAAAGTGACTAATGTATTATTATTACTGAAAGTGTCAATGTTTTTTATTTTATTTTTCATTGCAATTACTTAAGAGGACGTCTCACCCGGATGTGTTGTCTCAGTCTTACACACGTACGACATGGCAAATTTTCGTTTGCTAGTTTCAATAGGGTATTGTCAGTTTTGATATTAGAGTGAATCAACCTACTATCAAACTTTTAGGTAACAACATTATCTGTGTTCACTCGTTGGTTTTTTACGATATTTTAATTTTTAAGTGAGTTATGAACATTTTAGAATATGAATACTTTACATACCCACAATAATAAACATAATTTTTAAAAATCCAGTGACTAATTTTATTAAAATGTATTGAGTATCGAGTATCGAGTATCTTGTATCGCGATAGTCCAAAGCCAAGTATCGAGTATCTAGTATCGCGATACTCTAGAGCCAAGTATCGAGTATCTAGTATCTCGATACTCCAAATCCAGGTATCTAGTATCTACTATCTCGATACTGATTTTTGAGTATCTTGCCCATCCCTGATTATACATAGGTATTAAAATGTATAGCCGTATAGGTACAACAATCAGTGGCGTAGCCAGGGGGGGGTTTTGGGTGTTTAAACACCCCCCATTGATATTTTCCTCCCTAATAAAAATATTGTTCATAGGGTTTGGGACTGCTCGCATTATTTTAGATAAGTTTTAAATTTGTCTTATGAAATATTTTAAATGTCTAATCAAACAAAGTTTGAATTTGCATATTTTAGGAAAAGTGTACATTTGAGAGATTTTTTGCATATTTATGCATATTTTGCATTTTTCTAACTTAAATGTAGGTACATACAAATGTCGGGAAAAATCATATTTGGATAACATTGAAAAATATTTTTAAAAATATTATGTTTGGTTAGGTACAATAGGCTCTAATTTTGAGATTTGGGGAGGCCGAAGCCTAAAACCATACTATTATAAAATTGAATTAAAAAAATTTAGTAAATGATTGGGAGGGCTGTTAAAGTTGTTGGTGGAGCTTGACTATACGGTTTGCCCTATTTTAGCATAGTTATGGTATGTAAGATTTTATAAGTCTCTTTGTGACAAGACTGTGTTAAAACTATAATTGACATCTACATTCTAGATTGTACGAAAAAATGAAAATCAGTAGAACGTGTTCGTTTATCAAGGTGTTCTCATATCACGTTATTCTTTATTACATATTTATTAACCTAGTATTTTATTCCAGTACTTTTAAAAATCAAGTTGTTTTATTTCACAATAGTTTAAAAATGTCCAAAACATGCAATAGTGTACTCCGTCCATCACATTAATCAATATAGGTACCTACCTATATAAAAATTAGTAAGCCCGTGTATAAATTATTTATATACCTACTTATTTTTTAGTTTTTTATTACCAAAATTGTAGTATGTTTTATGAATTTTTCAAAAATAATATAAAAATGTAGCTGTATATATTTAAGAATATTTTGACAACTTTGACTGCATCATATTTCGATAATATTTAGTGCAACAAGTCAAGTCCCGAACCCTAAATTTGTTTATATACGAAAACTGTAAAAACTTGGTTTTAATTTATACTTAACACCCCCCATTTCATAATCCTGGCTACGCCACTGAGTCAACAATTAGTAATTACACAACTATATGTCTATATAATACATATATAAATAATAATAATAATAATATAACAAGTTAATACAAAATAGATGGTAGAATAAATAGTATAATATATTTAGATAACAGATAATATTTTAGTATATACCTAAATATATATATTACTTATGTTTTTTGACCTATAACTTATAACAGAATACATCATATTACGTTTACATAATAATGTGTTCATATTTAAATTTTTTTTTTATTTACAATCTATATTTTATAGAATTAACAATTATTATTTTCATTATAATATAGGTATTATTATATTTTGTTATAGGTAGGTACATGGTAATTACTAATTAGGAGTAGTCGAGTAGAGACATAGAGTATACATGCGTTCACATTTATATTTATATTTATATTTCTGGGCTTTTTTTCCTCCTTCCGGACTTGACCACCTACCACCTAACCATAGAACATAATGACCTAACCAAACTTAATCCGGAGGTTCTCCGTAAGACCGTAGGTACTGGAATGATATTACCGAAAATAAAATACTGGTTTGAATGAGTAGAAATTATAACTTATTAATTATAAGCATGCGAAAACGATGGTGAAGTCAGACCAAGTTTTAAAGTTAAGTCGCTCGTTTTCAGCATGCGTTAAAATTTAAAAATTTAAAAAAAAGCGTGTCTGGTAAAACACAAATATACCGTAGATGACACCATCATTCTTGATGGTGACAAACTCGTTAAGGTACGTAAAAAAATCAAAATTCGTTATAGACACTACGCGCGACATTGTGCGTAGGTATGCGTGTAAAAGTAAAATTGCAAACTTTGGAAGGTTAGGTATTTGTTAGGTTTATAAAATATAAATTCTAAAATAATAATTTCCGTAATTTCTTTTTTGCATTATCATTCTTTTCTCGTTGAAATACGCATGTTTCAAAAAAAAAGAAAAAAATGTTGGGTAGTTAAAGTGTATTTATACCAAAAATATTATAATATTGTACAATGTACCATTGTATAGGTACCTACTAAATTGTGTAAAATTGAATAATTTTGTGTATATTATATTAGTTTTATAGAATTTTGATAATTAAAAACGGTCAAATTTAAAATCATAAAATTATGATATTTTATTATTATTAATTAATTAGTAATACATAAATATAAAATAATAGGTACAGGATCACATTAAATAATCTCAAAATCAGCGAAACAAAAAACCCAGTAAAAAAAGTCGCTCTGCTGTACAGTACAAGTGGGTCACTGTAATGGATGGTGTCAAAATTGAATTAAATGATATAATATAATTGTATAAGAAAAACGATTCTGAACGAAAACGGTCAGTCACCCTATGATATTACAAAGTATATTTGAATATTTGATGATATTATTGTCAATAAAGTAATTTATGTATAACCAATTTACATAGAACCTTATTTTAAATTTTAAATTCTTAGCTATAAAAGTTGAACATTATATAAATTTTCAACTAAAAAATAATTATTACTATTTAAATTTGATAAATTTTGTTAAAATTCGAACTTTAAATGCTTATAAAAAAAAATTGTGCCTATGTATTTTTGATATTTTTCAACTGCTATTGTAACAATATATCAGGAGCCTTGCATTAAATTTTCACGGTTTTTTACCCCACAAATACAATTTTATTGATATTTTAAAAAAAAAAAAATTAAAAAACAGAAAACTGACAATGTCCGTAAACAACTTAAAAAGAGTCAAATTATTTTCAAAATGTTATCGTGTATAGAAAATGCTAATATAAACATTCATTGAAATTCCCAAGTATCTACAGTCATTAGTTTTTTAATTACAACAAAACAAGAAAATCGTTACATGAGAAATTCGAATGACTATCAAATATTGTAAAAATATGAATTTCAAACGCTCATAAAAATTTAATTTGACCTTCTTGTGGACATTTTTTTTTTGATAAAGGTAGATAATTGTATGAGGAATCTTGTATTACATTTTCAAATCTTACATTTAAAAAGAAAATTTTTTATGAATTTCTAACTCAAAATAATTTTTAAATTTTCGTAATTTTTACGTATTTTGTCAGTATTTGAACTTTAAATGCTTAAAAAAAAATTGTGACTATGAATTTTTAATATTTATCATCTGTCTTTGAAATAATATATTAGGAGCCTTCTATTAAATTTTTAAGCTTTTGTACCCAACAAATAAAATTTTATTGATATTTATAGAAAAAAATGGTCCGTAAAGAGCTCAAAATAAGTCAAAATATTTGGAAAATGTTATGGTGTATAGAAAATTCTAATGTAAACATTCAGTCAAAATGTCATGTATCTACGGCCATTTTTTAAGAGTTGCACCAAAAACCAAAACTGATTTTTTCAAAAACAGATTTTGTGTAAAAATTCCCGTTTTTCCTTAATTTTTCTTTTGTTTTTCACGTCAC